AAAAAAATTTTAAGTTGTCTAATTCTATATAGAAGTAAACCACAGCATATGGTCATATAGATTTAGTTCCAAATAAGACTGGGAGTTATCTTGAGGATAGGACTGATGATAAGAAAGTGACGAATTTCCCAAGATTGTTGGAAGAAATGCTGTATACAGAAAAACATATGGCATAAGAAATAACTGACATGGTCCCCACACTTTTAAAAGGTAAATTGTAAAGTTACACTTCCAAGTTTGATGACAGAATATGCTTACCAAAATAATATGTGTACAATATGGGGAGGAACAGAAAAGTCCATGTCAAAAAAGAATAACATAAAAAGGTGAGCAGGTTGTTGCTTCCTTCCTCCCCCTTAAGTAGACCTAGTACCCGCCTAAGGAAACTGATCCTGAAAGCATGGGAAAGAAGCAGCAATTGTCATCTTTTATCTCCAGGAGGCCTCCAGATCTGCCTTTTATTTTACAGCCCTTGTCCCTAATTTTCCTTAATAATTTCTTGGCCCTTCTTCTTTAAACTGGTTTCCTTATCTCTCTTGTCCCTAATTTTGCTGACCTGATTTTAATTCAGAAACTCTGCTTTTCACTTTTGAAGCTCCTCTCTAGTTTGATTATTGATGACTTAGTTATCCCAAACATGATCTCATACAATGAGTCTAACTTAAACTGATGGGGAAATGAACCAGCAAAATCAGAGTACATATCTCACTATACAAGTTCTACTAATCACCCACTACCTAGACAGCCTAGTTTCTATTCTAATTCTTGATACACAGTAGGTGCTTAGGGAATATTTGATGAAAAGATGGATGAATGAATAAATAAATTATTATAAGCTCCAGCTATAAGATCTAAAAATGATTGCATTGGTTGTTGAGAGTGTGCATATAATGAATCCTAATTAGTAGGATATATTTGATGAAGATTTCCATTTGTAATTATTTCAAGAAAAAAGAAAACATGAAGCAACCCAGTACATCTACTTGTCATCACTTTTTAAACATCTGGGGTTTAAAAACAGCTTTGAAAATAGCTAGTTGCCTAGGGTAAGGTCTGATTTCTGCCATCTAAGCACTAAAATATTCAGATTCTTCCACATTAGCAATATTTTCATGGAAAACAATTAATAAAAACACCAGTTAGGCCCAAATCTTCTTCTCATTCTGGTTCTTATAGGAATATGTAGATACACATTCCAAATGAAAAAAGGAAGACAGAGGCAACAGATGCGCCATCTCTATCACCAGTTTCCTAAATGAAAAACTCTAGAAATCCTAAATAGGACTGTTTACAGAAACAGTTGATGGTGGCAGCATGGGCTGGCATATAAACGCTTACTGTTTAGCAGGAGAAAGCATCCCAAGTATAGTGCCTTTCTCTCTGTCAGCTGGTGCTCACTGTTTTGTGTTTCTTCAGATTGATCGGCTGGACGTGGATAGCTTGTTTAGCAACATTGAATCCGTGCATCAGATATCAGCCAAGCTGCTGTTGTTGTTGGAAGAGGCCACAACAGACGTGGAACCGGCCATGCAAGTAATCGGTATGTTTATTCTCTTCTGAAGTTCTACAATACAACAGGAAATAATATTTTAATAACCTCCCTTCACTTGGTTTTATGTTTCTGACTCATCGTGCTTCCCTGGAGATATATAAATGCTAAACCCATCTTCAGGCTCATTGTAATTACACAAACTCCGTATTTATTTTCAAATGGGTTTGTGTCCATTTGCTTAGGTCCCTCAATGGCAAAAAACACACCATTTGCTTTTTAATTTCCGGTCGTTCAATTTCCTTGCCTTCCAGATGTTCTTTATTATTTTTACTCAATTCTTAAAGAATTAATTATTTAAATATTTTAATAGCTTTACTGAGTTTAGTGACAATTTTTTAGTTTTTTTTTAAATTTCAGGTTAATTTGAGGGTACAAAGAATTAGGTTTTTTACAATGTTAGCATTTGTTAGGTAAAGTCCCTGTTATGGTTGTGTCCCACACCCAGGAGGTATGCCATATATCTACATCATGTCCATTAAGTGGGAACACAGCAATCTCCTCCCTCCTCCTCTGTCCTCTCCTCCCACCTTCTCTTTCCCCCCATCTTGAATTGATTTGAGTTTTTCTCTTGTGTGGGCATGTATTAGAACATCTACTGGCTTCATATTAGTACTGAGTACACTGGATACTTGCTTTTCCAATTTTGTGATACTTTACTAAGAAGAATGTGTTTCAACTCCATCCAGGTTAATACAAAAGATGTAACATCTCCATCTTTTTATGGCTTCATAGTATACCATGGTATACATATATCACAATGTGTTAATTCATGCCTGTTCGAAGGCAGGAATGTTGAAGGCATTTAGGTTGTTTCTGCAATAAACAATCTAGTGCAAATACCCTTATGATAAAATGGTTTTTTTTTTTTTCCTTCTGGGTAGATAGATGCCCAGTAATAGGACTGTAGGATCAAATGGAAGGTCTATTTTGAGTTCTTTGAGGTGTCTCCATACTGCGTTCCAAAGAGGCTATATTAGTTTGCAGTCCCACCAATATTGTTTAGATCTTATGCCTATAAGTGAATCGATTCTTAGATTATAAACTTGTTACACGAGTTTATTTGACTTATAAGAAACTTACATGAGTTTCACTTTTTTCAAGCTTTTCCTTTTTTTCTATTAATATATTATTTATTCTTCCAAATATGTTTTTAATTATAATCATAGATATATTTATTTTCTTTTTCTGGCATGATTTTCAAAAATGACAACAGAGAACATAATTTGAAAAATATTGAGTCAAATTTTTATTCTCTCCATTTCTTAGAAGTTTCCACAGGAGTACTGTTCTGTAAACTCCTTGAAGGCAGTTTGAACATCTAAGACACCAGACAAATGGTGTCATATAGGCTAATAATTCTTTTAAAAATTACCATTTCTCTATTTCACACATAGTATATAATATATACTCATTACAAAAACATTAAACAATTCAGGAGCACAGAGTAACAGTAAAAGTATTTTTCATATGACACTCCAATGCTTCTGTTTTCCCCACAAGTAACTACTATTGTCAGTTTGATGGCGGTCCTTTCTTTGAGATACACACACATAGACCAAATACCTTTTATACTTGATTTTGGATAGATAAAATGTTTATATCATAAGGATATTTGCACTAGATTATTTACTGCAGCTCAATTTATAATCACCAAGATTTGGAAACAACCTAAATACCTTCAACACAGGAATGACTTAACAACCTGTGATATATGTATATCATGGAATACTATGGAGCCATAAAAAGATGGAGAACTTACATCTTTTGTATTAACCTGGATGAAATTGAAACACATTTTTTTTTCCTTCAGTTTTGGCCAGGGCTAGCCTTGAATCCGCCACCCCTGGTTTATGGGGCCTGTGCCCTACTCCTTGAGCCACAGGCACCGCCCTTGAAACACATTCTTCTTAGTAAAGTATCACAAAAATGGAAAAGCAAGTATCCAAAAATATATTTACTGTTGATGTATTTATTACCTTTTATTTGTTAGAGTTGTAAAAAATGGCATGAAATTGGTCTTGTTTTGTTATTTATGCAAGGCTGATCTTATGGAAAAGTAAAAGAAACAACTTGACTTTTTGTAGTGTTTTTGTGACAAAAGGTCTGCCCACTCAAAAATATTTCTTGTACAATTGGACATGAAAATTCTGAAGATTATTAAAAATATGAAAAAAATTCAAAAAATAAAAAATAAAAAACTTCATCTCACAGTTTTATATTTAATCATTCCTTCTGCTTAAATGTCCCCCCAAAATTATAAAATATTTTCTAACAGAAAGACTCTACTCATTACCATTTTAGCATTAATTCATTGGCCATTCACTTATTAATTATAATTCAATCAACGAATAGTTACAAAGTAGCAGCATGTTCAAAGGACAAGGTGCTGAATGGCATTGCTGGGTATCAAAAGGAAAGATCATCTCTGTCTTTCAAAAGTTTTCAATCAAACAGTTCCTTGAATTGAAGGTTATCTGTCTAATACACCGTTAGAGTAATTTCTACACTATCACAGAAGCTCAGAGGATAAAGAGGACATTTCTTGATGGGAAATGTAGGAATCTTGAAGAAAACATTACTTGGACTTAAATGTGTAGGGAAAATTTCAACAACTAGGGTCCAGGTTGGGGAGAAGATTCTATATGAAAGTTACAGCATGAATAGCAAATGCCAAGTGTGTCTAGAAACTGATTACTGATCAAACCGAATGAAGGACTGATGTAAGACAGAAGTGAGAAATGAATAAGGAAGTACAGAATATGGACAGAGTGTACTTGGAATTGAAGTTTGGAATTTACTATACAGGTAATAAGAAGCTATTAAAGAATTTTTCAGCAAGGATGTGATGAGCTGCAAAAGAGTCTGGAGAAAAAAATATGGTAGGGATGAAGAGAACGGGCAGGAGAATTGAGTCCTAGACCAGTAAGTAGGTTGTTACAAATAATACAGGCATGCAGTAACAAGCATCCAGGCTAAGGCAGATACAATGAGAGGAGAAAATAAAAGTTCATTTCAAGAAATATGTAGAAAAAACAAGATCAGGTGGTTGGTTTCTGTGCTGAAAGGGAAAGACAATTCCAGGGTTATGGTGAGCACACATCCTGGTTTGTGTAGAACACCCTGGTTTTAGCCTATTGTTTAAGCATTCAGTTCAGTTTAGCATTTGTCCTGGAGTTTTCCTTTTTAAAGATGTATCATTATTAGTCACATCACAAGAGGTTTTATAAATCCTTTACTGTGTACTTCAACTTCTGACATGGTCTGTTTTAACAAGGCATAAAAGATATGTACAGTTAAGAGAATTCTCACTGTAACACACAATAAACTCGGAAACACAGCCCATCTCCCCTTTTCCAACCTCTTCTAGTCTCAAGGAAACTTACATCTTCCTTTGAATTGCCACCTGCAGGGCACTGGCTGATAAAATGATGACATTTGGACTTGAGCAGCTAAAAACAGCTCAGTCGCTCCTCTGGTGGTGGTGGGAAATGTATTTGATGCCGCAGACCCTACCACCCACTGCATACAGCAGCTAGTCGTGTCATGGCCCACACTGGGTGTCCAATGCCATTACTTGTGAAAGGTACGAAGCTTCTCAGAATGGCAGTCAATGGGGTTAATGAGACATATATTACAGAAATAAATGAAATACATTTGGGAAATAGAGGTTCAGTAGCCCTGTTGCAAAGCATCCTGGATGCTCTTGCTAAGGTAATTTGGCTACCAACTGGGGATATAAATAGATAATGTTTAATTATTTAGTTACACTTTTTACAAAATAAACCCTTTCAGAAGCAATAGGTTTAATGTAATCATGTTTAATAAAATTATTGATTTTCTATCTTTCAAGAAAGTTGATAATCATATAACACACAAGATAGCATTCACCAAAGGGTCCTTAATGCTATAATTGACCATAAGACAACCAGAAGACAGAAATCTGATGTAGCAGCAACACAGATGTCAAAAGTTAGTCATTATTTTTAAAAGACTGTGCTCTAAGTAAGTGATTTCACACATGCAGGTGCTTAAGGTGTGTTTACATATTACCCTATATGACATAACTTTTCATTTAAGTCAAACAACAGTTATCCTAAATTAACTTCATTCATTTTTATTCTGAGTTTCCTGGGACCTACAAGAAATGTGAAGCAATGACTAGTAATAGATAGACCTCATCAGCAGAAGTTTTACAAATAGTTAAATGATGACAGTTTTATATCAGTGTGAACAAATGAATCAAATAAATTAACCAAATAATATTTCAATTATTTTTTAATCCACTTAACAGAACCAAAGAAAGATTTCTGGAAGTTTCAAAGGTGAATTGCCTGACTTTATTGTAAATGCTACCATCATTTGAACTTAAAAACTAAACACTTTGGGCTAGATGGGGTGGCTCATTCCTGTAATCCTCCCACTCTGCAGATCACTTGAGCTCAGGAGTTCAAGACCAACTTGAGCAAGAGTTAGACCCCCATCTATACTAAAAATAGAAAAATTAGCCAGGCATGATGGTCTGCACTTATAGTCCCAGCTACTGAGGAGGCTGAGGCAGGAGGATCCCCTGAGCCCAGGAGTTTGCAGTTCACTATGATTGATGCTACTGCACTCTACTGAGGTGGCAAAAGGACACTCTATCTCAAACAAATAAATAAAGAAAAGAAAAAATTAAACACTGTGAATGCAAATGACAACATGAGCATGACTACTAGTGGAGATGATAGCATAGTAGAATAATGTTTTTACTAAATAAAAACTATGGTGAAAAGTGCGCTTGAAATTAATTGTGGTGGCATACATGATGAAGCTGTGGTATTTTATTAATTGAAATGAAAACTGTAGTCAAAATTCACACATACTTTTATATACCCCAAATTAGAGTGAATGATAAAGGTGATATTGAATTCAAAAATAATCTTATGCATGATAGTACACACTTTCTTTGGTGCTGGTCATTAATTCATTTGGTTTTTTTTGTTTGTTTG